GTCCTCTCAGACCTCACTCAGTTGAGCCAGAAGGCTGCACATTGTGAGTCCAGTTCCCCCTGCTGTTTTTATTATTATTACCCAGTGGTTATGAGCGTAAGTGAAGTGATCGACCAGTAAATGTGGATTCTTCATCACTGCAGATGCTGTCCCAGTTCATGTTTCATTCTTCAATTTTGGACATGACCCAGACAGAGGCGGTTTTACCATTAGGCATAGGTCAGCGGCTGCCTGGGGCCCCCCTATGTTGGGGGCTCCCCTAGCCCTGACTGCTGGCACCCCTCTGTTAATGCCACAATGGACTATTCCTTTAAGATGCCAATGCACAAACAGGAAGTGATTGGTAGTCATAAAACTCCATTCCAGTTGGTGGCAGTAATGCACCAAATTGTTGTTTGCCAAGTGCCATAAGACGACAAATAAAAAGAAGAGAAAGCAGAAAAAGATGAAGAGAGGTGGGAGCGTTCGTAACAAACTCGAAGCAGTAGTCATAACGTTAAGCATGAAATGAAGTTATCCGAGTGGTTCCAAGAAGAGAAAGAAGCAGCTTGCTTTAAAAAAGCTTTTATCTTCACTTCCAAAAGTGACGTCGTTTTTCTATGTAAACATCAAAAGGAAGCAGAAAGGAAAGACAATGGAAAATGTTTAAAGGGAGGAAAACATATACCAAAATGGAAAATAGAAGAAAAAAACCAAAGGCAAAAGCGCAGGAGCACTGACAGGAAGAAAAAAGCAGAGCAAATATTGAAGGCACTCGAAAGGAGAGAAAGACAGGAAAAAAGAAGACTAATAAAAAGTGAAAATATCTCATGTCAGAAGAGGAGAGAGTTTCGCAAATCCAGTTAAAGATAAGATTGTCGAAAATTTTGTGTAAGGGGGCCCATGTCTGTGTTCTCCTTGGGCCCCCAAATTGCTAAATCTGCCACTGGACCCAGAGAAACTCTAATCTGGTCTGGGAATGTCTTGACATCCCAGCGGTGAAGCTGATGAAAGTGTCTTGGGAGAGGACTGGGATTGCTGCCCCTATGATCGAATAAATGGAAGACAACAATGATCACAAGGAAACTGGTAAATTATTACAATAATCAAAATAAAAATTACATTTACAACTTTTCTTTTCTTCTGAAGGATATGAGGAGGTGCAACAGGTCAATCCATTCTTATCAACTACACTTAACCCTGATGAAACAGTCTAAACACCAAAAATAAATAAAAATCAACCATAGCAAAAAAAATGAACAGGTTTATGAAGCTGTGCCATTATGGAACTGGGACAGGACCAGAACATTTAGATGATTGAAATGTTGGTAATGTTTTCAATTATCTAATCAGGCCTGGTCCCAGCTCCATGAACAACATGGGAACAGGTTGGACTATGCCAAATATATTAAATTTCTTTATTTCATTTTTTGCTATGGGGTTCAGCTCTGTATTGTTAGAGTAATATGCCCTAGGAGTGTCTGATGAGTGTGTGGGCAAGAGTGTATAGTACTTTTTAAAGTAATTTTGCTATAGTGGGCCAATGTAATTCTCATTGTTATGTTAATGTATTTATTTAATCTTTATTTAGCCAGGAAAGACTCTTGATATAAAAATTGTTTAAATTTTTGCTGATTTTCCATCTAAAGTGTTGTAGAATAAAGAAGTTTGGTTGAATTTCATTTAATATCAAAACAGTTGTTTTAACACTGGATTTACTGGAAAATTTAATCCTCCTGCAGAGCTCAACTTTTGCTGCGCTGATGGCCCATTAACTGAAATGTACCATTACACATTGCCACATTTGTCAGTTGGGGGAAGGTCGTTTTGAGGGAAGCTAGTTTCTGAGTTTCAATGTGCCGATCAATGTAATGAACAGATGTTTTTTAGGTGATTAGATGTCTTTGTCAGGTGAATAGATGTTTTGCCACTTGGGGGGAAATTGTTTTTGGGAAGTGAGTTTCTGACTTTCAATGTGACAATCAATGTAATGAACAGGATTTTTCTTGCCATGCAGAAACTATGTGGCCCTTGGAATTAAGTCAGACAACGGTCCAAAAGAATGTAAAAATAGGAATTTTTTTTCTCACACGAGTTCCAACACTGGAAAAAAACAACAACTATATACAAAAATAACAACCATATACAAGTTTAAACAGCAGAAACATATGTTTCAAACTTTGCAGTCTTTGCACACCCAGTGTCCATCATCCCTGCATTTGGCACAGGTGAATCTTTGACATGCTGCACAGGTAAGCTTGCTGCGATTCCGTTTGCAGGCCTTCAGCACCTGACACTGGGTTGTCCAAACCTTCCCTGGTTCAGCAGCTGCAGAAGCCTCAGAGTCAACAGGAGCCCTCGGGAGCTTCAGAACCTTGTTCTGGGCCTCTAGTTCTTTGAGCTGCATGAAACGGCAATGGAGTTCCTTTGCAAGATGACTCAAAACTACCGTAAATCCTCTAATATTGGCTTGTATTTAATTAACTGCCGGGTATTATATTTTGGCCGGTGTCGGCGGAGGTGAATAATGGCCGGTTTTTTATTGTGGCTGGGTGGAATGTGGTAACAAGCAAGTACGGGGGCAGTTGTGTCATCCGTCTCACTTTTGACTTGCCAGTGATAGACCGCGAGGGTAACTTTAACCGTGCGGAGGCGAAAATTTGATATCAAGTTCAAAGAGAACGTGCTGATTATGCTGCAGAACACTCTGGGGAGCAGTAGGGTTGTATGAACTAGTCACTAGTCGACTTCACCGCTCTATAGTGACTTGTTATGCCTGCCATCGACTAGTCGCTGTCACGTGATAATGACCGGCAAGATGCAGTCCACAGAAAAGACAGCAGTCTGCTGTCAGCAGGTGACAAGCTCCTGTGCGTCGGGAGGCAAAGCGCTGTGCCAGAGCGTCGGTACTGACACCCGCCGTAAAATGGACATTTAACCAAATTGTGACCTTTACCCTCTTGCAATTTAACCTTCCCCTCACCCCATCCTAACCTTAACCAGCTTGCGCATGCAAAGCTCTGATTGTTGACGCGCTGCAGACATCTGCGTCCTGAGCACGGCCACAGTAACATTATCAAATCAGGTGTCGCCACCTCAAAAACTAATTTAACACGTGATCGTTCATGTCGGCTCATTTCCTTTCATGTTTTCTGTCTTTAATTCTTTTATTTGTGCTTGATGAGTTTCGCTGCTGTGGATCGGGGCACATCACCTGTTTTGTCCTCGGTGACGCACCTAACTGATGTGACCGGCGAGCACTCCGCTGTTTGATGTCGGTAGATCTTTTAGAACTGCAGTTCAAAGGTAACTCATAAGGTGAATATATATGAATCCAGGTAGCAGTTTTTCTTTAGGATTGAGAGGAGATGCAGGAAGATAATAAGCAGGCAGGACAGAAAAATAGTCAAATAAAAACAAGTTAGTTTTTGTACCTGGTGGTTTCAACAAACAGACACCATTGAAGGTCATCAGAAGTGAGGAACAGAAAACGAAATAATTATTTTAATGTTTAGAGCAGCAGGAACTCCGAGAGGCTGCAGGCACATCAGTGAGTTTGCAGCTGCTGTGCAGGGGGAGGGGGGGAGAGGGCTGAAGCAGAAACTACCGTTGTTAAAAGAATTGTGTTTAACTTTGAAAATGTGGGCGCAATTTTATTTGTCAAAAACTCCAGCGAACCATTAGTTCATTTTGCTCAAATAGAAATTGAGGCCTGCCTCTAATTCTGGTCCTCCTTCCAATAAAGGCCTGGAGCTTGATGAGCTTGAGTCAAATACAGGCCCGGGCCTGTATTAGAGGATTTACGGTAGTCTTCTTTTGCCGTCCTGTACATGCCTTGTACAGAATGTAGGCGTTCACCGCCGCCAGGTCCAGGATGTTGTGGAAAACTGCTACTGGCCACCGTGTTGCTGCTCTAACGGAATACATTTGTGCCATTTGGTCCAACACATCGACACCACACTGCAAAAGTAGAGAGTGAGAGAGACAATCATGAGTATATGTTATTTTTTTATAGGCTTGTATAGTACATATCATAATAATTGTATCACTGTTGTAAAATTATACACACATTCACGTACCTTCATGTGGTTGTAGTCTATTATTGTGTTGGGCTTTCTCTTTGTGCCAGCATCAATCGCAACAGCTTGGTGAAATGAACTCAGCACACACACAGTTTTTTTTTTGGTGCATAAATGGTCAAAGAGACACCTCCACTTCTAAGGACAGAAGTGGAGAATACCTCACGTTGTGCTGTGTGTTTAGCATGCTGAGGAAGTTCACGGCAAACTTTATTTATGGTGCCCAGTATGGTTGTTTTGGGCTGAAGCAGTCTCTGTGACAGTGCCAGTGAGGTGAAGAAATTGTCCGTAGTTACATTTCTCCCAGCATCAAGAAATGGCTCCATGTTTCATGACCACATTTTCTGCCAGCCGCTCCCCTTCGGACGACTTGGATCCTTTCCCAAGTCTTGCATTGCAGACTTATTTGGTCTCCAAATCTGTGGCCACCCAGAACGCGATTCCAAATTTGTCCGGCTTTGTTGCAATATGGGTGAATGGAAAATGAACTTTTGTAGGGAACAGCTGTTCATCTATGGTCATGTGTCGTCCTGGAGTGAAACTGCCAGCACAGTTGTTGATGAAGCGTTTCCAGATGTCTGAGATGTGCCCAGTGATACAAAAATCCTCCCCCCAGGTTTACCCTGGCTTACTAATGCAAATCATGTTGCCCTTGCAGAACCAACCTCCACCCTTGCTTAGTGGCTCATCAGCAAAACAAAAGAAGGACAATTGAGCAAGCCAGGGGGGCTGGAGCCTGATTTTGCGCAAATTTGCTCAGTAAATCTAGTGTTAAAAGTAGAAAATATGAGAAATAAAAGACGCATAAAATACCTGCACCGGATGCGTCCAAGAAATTATTTTGGTCATTTTCACGCACCTTACCTCTCACGTGGCTTTCCTGCATTCCCGTTGGCTGCTCACGCGCATCCGAGCGGTTAATTAGGGTCACCGTCATCGTCAATTTTAACAGGAAGTGAAGCGAAGCGTCCAAGATGGCCGTCCGTCAGGTGCACCTGTAAGTCACGCCCTCGGCTCGGTGGAACGATGGTTGCCAACTATAGCCTTGCTGGTGGAGCTCGCTAGCACCAGAGGTTGTACATGACCAACATGAGGGTAACCCGCGCCACACACGGTCTTCTGCGTGTCTGCGTCCTGACCTGTTTCATTTACCTGCTGAGCTCCACCTGTGCCGGAGTGTTGGCCGGGCGGGAAAAAATGGCCTCCCATCAGCCCACGCTGAGGCGCAGCCGGCGGAGCCACCAGAGCGCCAGGCAGCACAGAGGCGCTCACCACCGCCCGCTGACCGACGAGCAGAAAGCGGACCAGAACCTGCAGTTCATGCTCAGTTTGTACAAGAGCGCGGCCGAGCCCGACGGCAGACCCAAAGAGCACCGGAAGTTCGGTTCCAACACGGTGCGCCTGCTGAGACCCACGGCCTCTTCGGTGGACTACCTGCCCACATCAGGAGGTGAAGGAACCCGTTTACCTGAGTTGTTTCTAGATGTGGAAAAGGGTTGTTTGAATCACTTTAATTTAAATCTTATGTTTTATTTTAAATTTGTATTCGTTTATAAAGGAAATGAGAAATTATTCAAAGTAAAATATTCTTAGAATATTAGGAATTTAAAGCAATTTATTTTATACAAAAGTTGTCCGTTTTAAGCAGAATCTGTTTAGTAAATTTTAGCGACTACAATGTATCTAAGCAGTTGACCTGCTATTGTCAAAGGGTTCAATATAATTATTGAAATGAAAGTTTCTAATGCTGATAAATTGGTCTTTTTAAATTGACTTTTTATAAATTGGGTGTGTCCACATTCTGGGGCCTTCACCCTTCAAGGATGCACTTTACTCAGTCAACAAAGACTGGATCCTTACGGTTTAAAATGTTGAAGCCTTTATTCTAAGCTTATACTTAACTGTATTTTACACCCACCATTGTTGTTGTTTGAAAAATCTCTTCAGTCCACAATGCATCTTGGGGTGTGATGATGAGTTGGCTCTCAAATCCAGCTAAGAAGATGCAGCCCCTGATTTTGGACATAGTCGTTTGTTGACAAACTAATACTTTTCAACGAAAATAAACTTAAATCTAATGTCACACCTCCCCCCTGCCACGTGGCCCTCAAGGGATAAATCATCATCCCTGCTCAATGGTCCACTTTCCTGGCGTGGTCGCCCATGAGGACAGTGGGAGGGTTAAAACACAATCTTCAGATCTCTTACATGGGATTAACTGTAAATTTCAATCTCAAAATTAGCTTGGACGTTGTTAGTTATGATGCTGTTTTGAGGGCAAATATTCTAGACCAGGTGTGAAATAGTTTATTTTAAGCACTTTTTAAATTGCTTTTCGAAGAAGATAAAATGGCAATTATACAAAAAAGTAAAATTGTAGTATTTGCATAAAAGCTGTTATCAGAATGATGGGTCTTGATGTTCCTCCTTCCTCAGATCTCGTCTACACCTTCACAGTGAAGTACAAACTTGACACACTTCCCTCAGAGCAGCTTGTCAGAGCTTCCTTCGTCCACCTACGCTCCTCCACTTCAAGCACCTCCCAGGTTGTGGAACTGCCCCGCTGCCGGGCTCAGATCACCTCGCTGGGTGCCAAGACCCTGGCCACCTTGAAGCCCCACGAGCAGTGGACGGAGACGGACATCACCGCACACGTCAGCGCTCACATCCTGCAGGGGAGGGATCAGGACGAGGAGGGGCACTTGGCCCTTACTGCCCAGTATTGGTGCACTGAACCTGGTCCCCCTGAGGACAGCGGCCCCTCGTGGTGGTGGGCGCCCTTATGGGGGAGGAGACAATGGAGCAGCGAACTGCACCTCCAAGTCCCTTCTCTTCTTCTGTATCTGGAAGAGGAGAGGGAGGTGAAAGAGTGGATGGGGGATTTGCTTGGGGCTGAAGGGGAAAACATCATGAAGAGAGTTACATGGTGGCATCCTTCAAGTCACCAACGCCGCCGCCGTAGGTCCAAAGAGGATTCGTCTTCCGAACTAAAAGATCTCTCGTTAGACGCCCTGATAAACACCCCCACCTCCTCTTCATCTTTCTCCACCTCCTCCTCTTCCTCCATTGTCTCCAACTACAAACTCAAAACCAGCATGCCCGAGAACCGCTGCAAGCTCCACTCCTTCCGCCTGTCGTTCGACAAGCTCGGCTGGGGTCGTTACTTCATCGCCCCTCCGGTCTACAACCCCCGATACTGTCAGGGGGACTGCCCAAGGGTGCTCCATTATGGCTACCACTCCCCCAACCATGCTATCATCCAGACGGTCATCAACGAGCTGGGCGTTGGTGATGTCCCTCCCCCCTCCTGCGTTCCTTACAAGTACATGCCCATGAGCGTGTTGGTTGTGCACAAGAAAAAGGTGGAGTACAAGGAGCTGGAGGACATGGTGGCTGAGTCCTGCACGTGTCGTTAAAGAGTCGAAGCAGAAACTGGGACATGCTTAGAAAATATTTGACCCGTAGAGAATTGATGGGTCAAGTTTGATCTAGAGCTAAGCTTGACGAGCTTCTGACTGGTTGAATTTGTCAGATGTTTAAAGCTCTTTAAAGGCAATTTATGCGTGTTTGCTTCTCCCCCCCCCCCCCCCCCCCCCCCTGCATCGTTTTAAATCTGAGCTGTTCCACATCAGGGCTGAACTAAAACGCATCGACTTGCATTTATAAAAGATTTCTGGTGTTGCCGCAGAGTGGGGCCGTCTACTGTCGTAATGGAGAAGAAAACTAAAGAAGCTGCTTAGAAAAGTCAGACATTTTAATGGACAGTGGATCAGCCATGCTAGGAAATGAATGAACTTGTGCAGTTTGGGTGAATTTATGGGAGGAGTCTCCTTAACCAAACTTGTGCTGCTACTTCGTCTGTGTTGGAGGTAAATAAATAAAATGGATAACGAGGCATGACTGTGTTTAAATGACATTGATGTGAGAAAGAATGGAGTTTTATTATACGTGAAAGATAAATAAAATAAAATGCATATTTTCTAAAAATTTTATCATTTGTGGGTTTTGTCAAAATGTAGAAATTGTAACCATGTTTAAAGGTTTGTGCAAAAATGTTTTCTTCCGCTAGTTTTTTCACTTTTTGGTCATGTTTGACAACTCCTGATTTCTATTTTTAGGTTCTGTAGGTATTCCAGGTCACGCTGGCTCTTCAGCAGTGAGACAAACTCCCGTTTAGAAGAGACTTTAAAAATGACTGTTGCACAAAATACACAAATTCTTTTTCAGATGCTGAATGGAAGTCCGTCTACAATTTAATACCAGTTTGAAAGTCTCTTGGTGAAATCTGTTTAATGCATTCACTCAAAATGTAGAGCAGGGCAGAGCTTACACTAAATGTTTGTTACGGGCGCAATACTGACCTTTGAGCTAGAAAACAATCCAAACTTCATGCGTAACCATATTTGACAGTTTTTATTGTAGTTTTCAAAATTAAATCAATGCGAGTGGGATTTATTTATTTATTAACTTATATTTTAGGAGGATAAAACCACTTGAGATGAAACATCTCGTTTACCAGTGGGTCCTCAAATAAATAGATTGCAGCATAAAAATAATTTTAGACTTGCTAAGTTGTAATATGTTCTATTTTTAGCACCGTTGAGAAAAAACGATTTGTTTCGCAACAAAAACTGATTACTCAGAAAACTTTACTGATCTGAAAGGAAGTTCCTTCTGTCAGGACTTCCATTATGCAAAGAACAAGAAAACAAAACCGCACTAAATATAATAAACTCAACTTTTTAAAACTAAATGAATAAATAAATACGGTTCAATGGTTTATGATTAAAGTTGTTTGAGCTGCCAAAAAAACAGACATTTTACTGCCACATTTTAAACAAAATGAACTGAGGACACATTTTCTTTGAAAATGGTGTTATCTTTAGGAAAATGTAATACTGCCCCATACCCAACAGATGGGGATATTCACTTGGAAAATTATTCACTTGGAAAATTAAAGGTAAAGAGTCTTTTTTTAATAAAACCTCCAATTGACTTGATTGTGAATCTGAAATGAACTGGATTTAGTACCTTTTTCATCATCCTTTATATAAAAATACTAAATTGGATTTTTATATTCCCTACTTCTGTCAAATGAAGCAGCTTGTTAGAATAACTACTGAGGTTGGGTCTCTTCTTTTGCACGAGTTGGCGTTGTGGCCTCTGAGTGACTCTGTCTTGACCTTTTTATCAGGATGAACCTTAAGGGAAGTCATGTGAGGTACACGAAAGGCCAAAGATTCAGAAAAGGAGCGTTGAACAGATAAGCTGCCGACAGTAGAGATGAGGAAGAAGCACAGCCACTAAATATTAGAATGTTGAAAAGCAGAAGGAGAAAAAGTTTGTTTTGCTCAACAAAAATAAATCTTTATAAAAGTTTCTGGTTCAAATGAATGGATTTTCTATTTTTCATGAGCCTGTTTTCTATGGGGAGAACATGCAAACTGTGTGAAGAGCCTCAGTCTAGATTCAAACGTGTGACCTTTTCACTGTGTGGCAGCAGTGCCACCAACTGCACCACTGTAAGGGGTTAATTTACATTTATTTAACGAACCATAAGACTCCATAGTAAATATGAAATCAATCATTGCAGTCATCACACAGCTAACACGCACAAATGCAGATGAAGAGAAGATCATTTAGTTTAGCTTTTACTGTAAGGGTTGCAGGAAGTGGCAGTAGTCCCCTTCACCAGGGTGGATATGGACAGGTTTAGTGATCAGTAACCAGGCGATGGAAAAGAGCTAGAGTCCCCTGTTAATACACTGCTGTGCTGTGGAGAAAACACACACATCTATGCAGAAAGACTACAGCTGGGAATTGCGCCTGCAACTTTCTTGCTGCAGGTCACGGCAACAAGTGCTACCGTATTCACCACCATGTAGCCTTTAATAAAAAAAAACATGAAAAAATATTTACTTTAGAAAAAAATAGAGATGCAAAATTAATATAATTTATTTTAGAAAAATTGCAGTTTTTTCAGTTTGCAACATTTGCGGCTTGCGCTATTAATTTATAAGAAAGAGATACTTTACCTCGTAAATTACTAAACTTGTCTGCAGCACTTTGCTTGATTTTGCACATATTTTCCGGGGTTACTGTGTAAAAATATATAAACTACTGACAACACAATGTCATTCTTGTCTCAGTGTTTACCAAAAGTCCCACATGAATATTTATCACTGCGTTATTGTCACGTGAAGTATTTAGCGTTTAACTTTTCTGACATAAGTTACCAAATTTGTTCATGTCTATAAATGTTTTGAGGACAGTTTTGAAAACTAGTCCCTATTGATTACTCTCTCTCATTACCGGAATTACAGTACAACCCCTTTAATGGGGAAGGTATAAACATTTAATTTAGCCATAGACTTGCATTTTTCCTTTTGTCTCTGTCTTTTTGCCTGAGGAAGATCAGTGCTGGTCTGTTTTACGGTAACAGTGCTGGTGAGTTACTGTAACGTTTTATTGCTGAGTGACTGGTCCCTCAAGGGATTTTTATTTCTCTGGGTGTGTAGGTTTGTCCTTGTCATCTTAATCTAATTCACAGAGGTTTGGTTCTGGACTGACACACAGCCAGTGGCACATGGATTCCCATAAACATTCCACTCAGAATGTGTTACTTGGGACGGGGCAAATGCATTGAAAGTCTTAAAACCAGCAGGGGAAAGGAAGAGTTGTCTTAGTACAGTTTTAATTAGGGATGCACAACATACTGGCATCAATATCAGTATCGGTCCGATAAATAAAACAGGGCCGATATTAAAAACCAATATTTTTGTTCCACCTGGTTTCCATTTGTTAATGTGTTTCAGAGGGTGAGGGGGGGGGGGTATTTGTTTAGTCATGTGACAGTGATTGTAATCATGTCAGAAGCGTAAATGTGTGTGGTGTTTGTATAATAACGTAAATTCAGCTTTAATCATTTTCATTCTATGCAAAATCTGCTGATTTTAGAAGCATTAACGTCAGTTTGTCGGTATCACCAAATATTAGTTATTGGCTATAACAGTGATATTAATATTGGTATCGGCCCAAATATTTTATATCATCTGTGCATCACTAGTTTTTAAAGCATATGGTGAAAATGTGCACAATGCAATAGGTCAGGAAATGAGCAAATTTGATCATTTTTGCATTTACTGAATGCTGTGTGTCACTTTTTTGGACATGATGCTTCCAATCAGAGACATTCTCTACACTCACTAGTGATACCCAGTGAAATCAATGGTACAATCCTAACTATTGAATAAAATTGCTGCAGCTGACTTTCACTAACGATCTTTGTCACATGTAGAAGCTTTGGGAGTAACCCATTTCTGTGAACTTCAGCATGTGCGTTCCACCCAGTCCAAATGGGAGCTGTAATCTGGTCAGATGAGGTCATATCTGAGCCCTTGGATCCTTTTGCAGAAGGGGATTTAATTAATAAAGAGTAAAGTTCAGGTTCTGCAGTGAGAGTTGACATTTTTAGACAAATTTCACTGACGGTTCTATTTTTGCTTTGAAATGTCTCTACACACTTTTATTTTCAGTCCTGCAGCAGAACATCCATTTAGTCATGATGGAATGGAGCTTTGCAGCTTCTATGGCTCAACCCGATGAGTCATGCTTGCCGATAAATCATGACACAGATGTTATGCATTTATGTAGCTTGAGAATCCTGTCAGGCTCAGGTTTATAAGGGACCTCTCAGTGAACACCAGCCTTACAGGAAAAGGTACAAAAGATCTGCAGGACTTCTATTCACAAGTCTGTCAGGTTATATAAATAGCTGGGTCACGTGGGGCGTGTGATGTAATTGGAAATAAACTGCCACTCGTGGAAATGTTGCAAAAAATTTTTCCTGTCATTTCATTCGCTGTTTAGCAACCAGTCCCAAAGTTTTCACATTTACTGCTCTTGAATTATTTTTAAAGATTATTTTGTTTTCAGAAATAAAGAACTTTGCAAACTTTTGAAACTAACACGTGAACAGCATTTGATACTTGTCACAACCCGTTAGGATACTTTTTTATACCAACATCTTTGTAGATCCAATTATTTACAGATACAGTAAGGTTTAAAAGCTGAATATCATCAGCTAGCAATTACAGAAAACACAACTACATTATCTCATGTCACAGAAATTTTTAAAAAGGAACCAAAACAGGGTCAAGTACAGGACCCTGGTGGATACCATGCAAGACTTACTTTTGAATGATTCATAAGAGGCAAACCCTATTGATGCTGTTTGAAAGCAATGATTAGTCAGACCAAATACTAGTTTGGGTTACATTTTTGTTCTGTTCATTCCCATTGTTAAATAATTAAATAAGATATGTATCTAGAAAATGTTACTTCACAGCAGTTTTTCTCTACCACCTACATATTTTGCACAGTACTTTTTACACTGTTGCACATCTCACTAAATGTTTGAAGACTCATTAGTGTTTAAAATGAAAGAGTGGAATTGATTTAATAGGTTTTGTAACTGTTCTCTCTTGCAGGCAAAGATGCAACAAAGATCCCTCTTTATAGATTTTCCTAAGTCCTTAACTTCCATTGAAAAATAAGTCAAATGGACTAAATTCCTAAAGAAGACAAATGTCAACATGCTGGAACTAGTCTTTGTATTTCCTCATATGTAAAGAGCACATACCGTACATGCACAAGTGCTAAGATTAACTGTTCATGTTTGCTACAAAAGTACATTTTCTAAGTGAGATTGCGTTGCTGCTTCACACAGTCAGATTCAGCAAATACCCTGCAAATACAAACATTTCAGTTATATTCAAATGCTATATATTTTAAATTAAATTATGACAACTACATACTTGGAATTAGACGTTGTTTTCCACACCGTCACCTCCTCACGCTTAGACTACTGCAACTCTCTTTTCACGTGTCTGAGCAGAACCTCCCTGAGCCGTCTGCAGGTGGTTCAGAATGCCTGTGCTCGGCTTCTGACCAAGTCCTCCAAACACACCTACATCACCCCGCTTCTCCTCCAGCTTCACTGGCTGCCAGTCAACTTCAGGGTTCATTTCAAGATCCTGGTTCTGGTCTATAGGGCCTTACATGGACAAGCACCATCTTACATTGGTGATCTTCTTAGTCCCTACACCCCCAGCAGGTCCCTGAGGTCCAGTGATCAAAGCCTACTGGTTGTGCAGGCGCACCAGGCTAAAGACCAAAGGTGACAGATCATCTGTTGCTGTGGCCCCCAGACTCTGGAACTCTCTCCCCCTGAGCCTGAGATCAGTGGACTCAGTGTTTAAAAAAACTGCTCAAAACTCACATTTTCAACCAGATTTTTTGTTAACTCTTCTAGATCCATACAAATAAACTTTACTTACTGTACATGATGAAAACTATTTGCCTCATCTGTTTGTACCAAGTACGTTTCCAATTTGCTAAATGTTCTTGAAAGCCTGTTATGTGACACTTATTGTTTTCTGCAGATGCATCATTTCTTCTTCAGACAGAACAGGACAGAAGACAGACAGTAGAACTGGGGGTTGACAACACAGACTGGCTTTGTCCCTCCCTCTCCTGGGATGATGGTCTTTACTATATAAAGGGCAGCTCACTGAGTCAGGCTGATCTGAAGCGGCTCTCCAGCTACCTTAAGACCTGCTAATACCTGACATCCAGTCCCGAAGCTTAACCAAACGGCCGCAGTTGCTACGTTCTCCTCAGTGAGTGAGAAAGAAGAAAGATGAAACAGAACTACTTGGTCAACCAAAGGAAAGCACTGGTGGTGATATGCATCACTGTGCTGATACTGGCCCAGCAGGTGAGTAGCCTTTAGGTTACAAATTTGTCGTTGTTGTATTACGCTTTGGAAACTCAGTTTATCATCACCGTCACAGAGTTTCCCAACTGTTTTTGATTTAAAGAGCTCATAACTGACAGAGAATCTGGCGGTGTTCCAGTGCATACGTTTTTTATTGTTTTAGAAATAATATTATTTTCTTCCTGTGCACTTGTGTCATCAGGCGCTCACAGGCCCGTTAGTCTTGCAGGTCCAGTCCAGCTCTGACCAGAGGGCAAATTCAAGGGGGGAACGCACTGTGCACACATTGAGAAGAGTGGCTCGAATGACCCCGCTGTGGAGGATCATGAGTAGCAAACCATCTGGAGCTTTCTGCCAAAACGACTTTGAATGTGTCACAGGACTGTGCAAGTAAGTGCAGAAGGTGTTAATATTGAGGTTTGTATTTGCATAATCATGACACAACATAAAATAGCACAGTTGACACGTGACGGCATTTAACTTTTATTTTTTTATTTTTACCATTTGTAAATATTAACACACATTTTAAAAGGTATAGTGTTCAAAACAGAGCTTTTATTATTATTTTTAACTAAAAAATGTATCTCAATCATCTCATTGCACCCATTTAGATGCAACGCAATTTAGATGAACAAAAAAATGTGGAGAAACTCCAAGTAGATGTAGGGTGACCTGACAGCCAAGCGCAGGTCATGTTTTCGTAATACAGGTTAGGAAAACAGTCATAGTTCCAAGTCTGAACAGCTTTTGTACATGTCACGTTGTGCACGAACCCTCTGTCTTCAGTCCTGCATTCAATGAAAGGACAAAATGCTCAAATTATAAATGTTAAGAAAAAAATATTCCTGCTGCTTGCCCATACCAAAATAAAGCCTTCTTGCATTTTTGGCTTTAAAAAGTTGTTAAATTAGACTTTTATGTTATATTTCATTGAACACATAATCACTTAGAGATACGGTTATGTTTGTAAGGACTATGACTAGACAGGTAGAGCAGTTTAGGGCATTTTTTTCACATTTTAAGCCTGGACATTTTTTATTTTGTGTCTATGATAATGAAAAAAAAATAACAACACAGGATTAAAGTAATGGATTTGAACTTTTAAAGGTAATAATAAGATCTTTCCTGCTTTGAGCTACATAGATTCCAACTGAATGACCGAGCATACAGCTAGCCAAAGTCAACTGCTAGTCTTAATTCTGCTGTATGAAAACTCAAATCTCAAAAATGGTTTGTAAAGTGCATTAGTGGCTTTAGCTAGTTGTAGCACTTCCTATGCAACCAATAAAACACTTCAGGTTGGAATATTTTAGCCAGAATAACCATTTCATCTTAGATTAATGCCAGTACCGGTTTTGGTTGGGCCAGCTGGTAGCTTATTAAACCAGCCAGAGTCTTTATTTCTACAAACTGGTGTTGTTCAGAGATCTAGCTGCTTGAAGCTGTACGTCAGGGGTATTCGATTGAGGTACGGTATCCAGCACGTTTTAGTTTGAACTCTGTTTTAACACACCTGATTTCAATCAGCAGGTGATTAACAGGCGTCTGCAGAGCCTGATGAGCTGCTGCTGCGCAGGTGATTCAAGTGTGTTGAGTCAGAGAAACCACTAAAACGTGCTGGATACCAGATCTCCAGGACCAGAATTGAATACGCCTGCATCAGTTATATAATTGATTATTTCTAATTTGCATAATGTGAAAACAATAACATTTTTAAAAGTAGAATACATGCTGGAAAAATGATTTGTGATTATTTTCTTGCCTGCTGGCAACATTAAAGAGCAAGTCACCTCCAAATCAACTTTTTTTTTGTTGATAAATTATACAAATGAGTGTCTAATCACTCTGTAGAAACGTGCTGTCAATAATTTGGCACTTTAGTTAATCTTAGTTAAAATTTAAATAATCTGCCTAAAACTGTCAGTATTGCGCCGTCGTCAGGAAAAAACCGCATTGTATTTTAATTTAAATCTGCCATCGCTATTGGCTAAGAGATACACTATGACATTAGCTGGTACATTATGATGTCACAATGCTGTTGTGAGCCCGTGTATGTGTGCATATGTTAGCGGCTCCACCCTCTTGGTCTTCCAGGCAACAGCATTTGTTGCATTTTTCAAACATGAAGTGGGAGTGGAATAAGACTCTGATAGGGGGTGACTTGCTGTATTCTCATGTCATTCTAAACTGTTCTTTGTGTCTTCCCTCCAGACAGGGCTACTGCTCAGTGAAACAGCGTTCTCCTTCAGAGCCTATGAAGTATTAGAGGGCAAGCCAGCACGTTCAACCAGGATCCTGATGAGCTCTCATTACCAACATCAACTTTTAGTACAGGTTTTTTCTATCCACCAATGTAATACCAGCATAAGTACATTATTATCTCTGTTCTGTAATTGCACATACAACCATATTTATCTGTTGTTTAAAAAAACGGAAACATCTTTGCTGATAAGGATTTAAGTCCCAGTGGACAAGGCCTTCAGACTGAGTCCAGGAGTGCTGAGGTGTTATCTGGTATTTAAACAGCCTGATAACGTGTTATTAATAGTTCCCATTTACCGATATGATATTACAGTGACTATCTGAAGCTACAACAGACTGGACTCTGTTGACCTCCAAAATATATTTTTTTAAATCTCAGGTGAAACATGTGGCTTTATGAAATAAGTAGTTTTAATTTTTATTTTTAACATAAGAGGAAGAGTAAGTACCGAAACAAGTCACAAATAAGTCTTGGCACCTTTGTAGAGTTCCTGACTAATGTTTTTTGACAAGTTGTCAAATCTGTCACATGTCGAGCTTGATTATTTCCAGACTGTGGACATACAGAAAAGTCTTTTGTTATTGCTTTGAAGTACATCTGAATTATTTTTTATCTAAAGTCATTTTAACCTTCAGAAAGTAACATGACATGTTTTTGCTAACCTAGGAACAAAGATTTGTTTGAGCCAAAGAGCAGCATCTAATGCTGTGTTCAACTGTAGAATAAAGCCCGGTTCACACGGCAGGAATTAAAAGTCAGGCTGATTTTCAAAGATGGAGAGACCACACACGTGGTGATAAAAAATCACAGATTTACCCGTTTTGGTCAAACACCACACAATACACACAAACCACTTTCACTTACGGACATTCCACTCACAGACGTGAAATCTCGTGAGATAAAACGTAACTTTGAAGGAAACAAATATGGCGGAGGAGCATGTAGCACGCTTCTGTTACCTAGCTTTCTGATTGGCTATTTGTCACATTCAACAGGAAGCATCTCCACTTGAAACATTTGATATTTAAAAGCTCGGATTTATGATCAGAGCGGCATTGACGACCTTCCGAGTAGACTTAGCAGACCTAATACACCACAAAAGGTAGGATTATCTGAAAAGATTATCTTTAGAGCCTTTTTAACTAATTTTACACATACTTAAGATTGTTGGAAGGGGAGGATCTGGTCAAAAATCAACACGATTATCCTTCTATGTGAACCAAACATAGGATGTTAGTTGCACAACTTAAACTGAATGTGTACAATGAGCTTGATCTAATGAACAGGTAATTCAGCCATTTAATCACATGTGTTTGAGCATGGATACACCTGGAACATGCTGGATTAGGGCCTGTAGTACCATGGTTAAATACATACCACTGGTTTAGGTACAATTTAAGTAAATTATTTTGACAGTTTAAATTTAAACATAGTGCAGTGCTCCTCTATAAACACAAGTTAAAAAATTTAGATTACAAAAATACCACCATGTTTTTTTTAAACATAAGTCTGATTTTGTGTATTGCATGAATTCTCACATATTTTATTTATTTGTATTCTTTGTTTAAAATACTGAAATGTTTTTATTTGGGAGGGTCTTAAAATAATTTACCACTGAATTGTTTTTCGTGTATTATGGTGGGACCTTGAACTGAGTGTAGAAGAAAAACAGGTATAAGTGGAAGTTGCACAGACTCATTGTTTGCACATTTATCTCATTACTTGCAAAGACGGTTCTTGAACTCTTCATTAACTTCATGGACACAGCAGATAGTGGCTAGTATGTTGTACACTCAGTGTTTGAGAATGGTATTAGTGGGATTGCACTTTTCAAGCTAATTATCTTTGTACTGTACTGTTGCATGCATGTAGAGGGCAAGAACAGAATGTGGGAAAAGGAAAGAAATAAAAGAACTGACAAAAGGATTTACCCTTGTCTGCATATTCATTATTTTGGTTTGATTTGAATAAAAACACAAACTGAATCTATTTTTAGAAAACGCTAAAATACAGTAAGGTTTCCCTTTTTCTTAAGGTGCCGCCTCAACATTCATTTGAATTTGGTTTCTCTAAGGTCAAATATTTTTATTTTACATTCATTTATTTGTTACATTTTTTACGTGAAAACAACAACCAAAACCTATTTGACATTTCAACGACCTTTTATTGAAATTATAATCATCTAGAATTGTAAATACCACGTTGCTGACAAATTTTTCTTAGTGAAAACTATAATGACACTTTCAGAGAGGTACATTTAGGATTTTTAGATTTAATTTTTATAAATGAAGAAAAAAAAGTGTATATTTTTAAACTAACCTTGGCGTTATATCTTTGATTTACCGGAAAAATGCTCGGATGACAGTGAACCTAAATCTCATCAGCATACTAATATGTTTATTATTATTATTATCATTATTATTATTATTGATGTAATATTTTTACCACTGGACTTGGAGGACTTAATGGTTACTTTTTGTTGTTGTCCACAGTTTAAAAGATTAAAATGTAACGATGGGTAGTTTACATCTTACTTATGATCCATAAAATGTGAGATTCCATAGAAATATGAAATATCAATCTGATGGATCTTTAAATATTTTAACCAGAAAATCAGAACTTTTTATTGCAGGGATTACGTGACACTTCGTATCAACCCAGAGGAAAGAGAGAGAGTCAGGTCTATAATAGTTAAGAAATTTATTTCCACACAATTTAAACAAGACTAATTTTAAACACTCTGTGCACAGATGAACTAGGTGGAATGAGACGTGAGATGAATGATGTATATGTGTGGAATTTTGTTATCAGATCCTCGTATCCGGAGAAGCATTTAGTTCTGAGTGGGAGTGAATGTTTCGCTCTAAACTTTAGTTGGAGATTTATAACACACATGAATTGTCATCTGTCAGTCTACGAACCCCAGGGGAAGCCTCCGTTTAGATCCAGAATGTCGAGGTCCGTGGACCCTCCTTGGTACCGAAGCCGGTAGAAACAGCAATGGCATGTAGGGATCGTTTGAAAGACAACTGCAGCTTTTGCCCCACGACTGAGAGCTGTTTATGAGTCGTGGCCAGACTACAATGTATTCTCTTGGCTTTCCATACTAGGCCTTTATCCCATTTTCTCTATGGTGTAGCTGCTTGTTCAGCAGTTTTCTAGTAGCCTTTAGATTTATGTTAAAGTGCATCAAATCCAGCTTAGCTGTACCAAACTCAAAAACTTTGGTGACTCACACATAAAATCTGCTGCAGGATAATGAAAAGGGAATGTGCACAAACCCCAGAGGAGACTCAGTCATCTATCTGCTTGTGATACTTTTTGCACTAAATCAAGAGACCGAAGATGCCGTCAGTCAGTGTAAAAGTGCAACAGCTGCTCATGATCACATCTTCACTCTTGCTCTAAACAGCAAGGAGCCAAGTGTGTGAGTGGTTTAAGTCATGTTAGTTCACATGGAATAAATAATTCATGATTCTATAGGAAGAGATCTTCCACTACTAATCTCTGGTTCCTACCGTAAATCCTCTAATACAGGCTGGTATTCAATTAAAGGCCGGGTCTCCAATTTTGGCCGGTGTCGGAGTCAGCGGAGGTGAATAATGTCACACCCTG